TTTTGTGATAGTTCAGCCATTGAAGTGATGGATAATACACAGAGACTGCAGTTATTACTTGTCAGTTAGTGCTGCCCTACGGGGGGAAAAGCCCTTTTAATGCGCTTGTAGCAGTTTTAGTTTTATGAAGTACTTGAACTTCAGAGTTTGACTTCTAAAATGATCTAGGATGTATATTGGAGAGCATTAAAAATGAGATTTAGACAGGAGAAAACCCCTCCCTTCATGCAGGCGTTTATTCTTGTAGGAAGAAATGATCGCTGAATCTTTGTACTTAATGTACGTTAGAAAATGTTGTGATAAAAGTAAACCGATAAGGTTTCATCCTCTTTTTGCATTTACTCAGCTCTGCCAGCCCTCCTCGTGCGTTCAGCCGGTCAGCCTGAGCTTTCAGCCATTTTCTGGTGGCATTTTATGTTTAGTCCCTCTGCAGAATGAGTGCACAATTAATATTTTTTTTGCAGGAGAACTGTTTGCATGCCTGAGCCCAGTTCCAAAGTGGGAGAGAGAACAAACTGTTAGTTGTAAGAAGAAAGCATGGAGAGTGAGTGGAGATTAGCCCCTAAAAAACACTTTTTAGATTAGAGAGGGAAGAAGTGCGATGGTCCCAGCACGTGGAGGTACGGAGGTGCCGGGCAGAGAGTGTCCCCGCTCGCCCTGGCTTGCAGGGTGACAAGCGACTGGACTTCAGACACCAGCGGAAAGGGGAGGGAGGGCTGGCGGACTGCTCGATGGTGGTCATCGCACGTGCACGTCCTCTGCCAACGTAAGATTTTTTGCAAATGTTTGTATTTTTGCGAAATTTTTGCTGGTCCGGTTGGGTTTTGGTCACAGCTGTGTGCATGTCCCCCTGCTTCGAGCCAGAAGCAGCCGTTGGTGGCTATGTGCCAGCTTTCCACGTCACAACCACCACCAGCTTTCACGTCGCCATCTCCCTTTGTCCTGGTGGCAGGCACTGGGAAGCAGGGCGGCTCTCCCAGTTGCTGTCAGTAATCTGTAGCCTTCCCTGAACCTTTCCCCCTCTGCTCTGGCAGTTGCAGGGATGATTTGGGAAACACCCAGGCGTGTGTAAAAGAAGTCACCAAGTGCTGGAGGCTGTGCCTGTGATCCCAGGAGGAGGCAGGGCTCCGTGGGGTCAGTCCCGTGTTTGGCAACCCCAGGGGACCCCTGGCTTCTGCGTCGGCAGAGGATTGAGCCACACGTGTAAGAGCAAGCAAGAAACCGTCCTCTGCGCTGCCTCCTGGAGAGCGGTCCCAGAGATGGCCGTAAGCGCAGGGCTGAGGACTGGTGAATAAGAACCCAAGTGTGTATTTGTTTCTTCTTTAATAATCATGTATGCTAATCTTTGCAATTTGATTTCATCCATTTTTAATAGAATAGACTTGGATTTTTTAAAAAAATATATTACTTCCACTGTATTTTGGCAAGAAACATGAGCTGCAGGCAGTCCCCTCCAGCGCAGTCTCCTGTGGGGTGTAGATGTGTTTGGCACGTTCTTCTGCCAGCAGGGATGGAGGGGTGAACCCCTGTCACCCCCCAAAAATACAGAGTGGTCCTCTGAAGTCACAGCATGGCACTCCCAGAGTCATCTCCCTCCGATCAGTTAACTTGAATTTTTGCTGCTAAGATGCTATTCGTTTTTTATTGCTGCGAGTGGTCCTTTCCAGCCTTTAGAAAATGTTTTTCATCCTTTTGGAGATCTCATAAAGGAATTGAACCTTGGGAGAACACTTGGTGGCATTTTCTAAGCCTGCTCCAAGCAATGTGGTGGTACCGTAAATGCACTTGTCACACTCGTGTCCTCCAGGGTAGCAGATGCCCTCCTGAGCTGCCAGCACATCAGTTACCTAAAGGTCTGGCTCTCGCTGCTCAGCAGAGGTGACATCCAAAGCTCTAGTTGATCCACTTCACGCTTGGGCTAGGTATAAATATTTTTTTATTGGTCTATAGGAGCTTTCCATACGTCCATTGATATCATTCGCTACCCTTAATTCCAGCACCTGAGACCAGTTTCTGCCCGGTCCAGTCTCCCATTATCTGTACGTCGTGTTCAAGTTCCCCAAGCAGCAAGTATCTGCTGTCTGAAGATCAAGTGGATTTTTTGAAGACTTTCATCCCACAAATGGATTTCCCATGTTTTATTTCCCCGTGTTAAGGCTGAGATTTTCTTTTCTTTTTTCCCTTTTTTTATATCCTCCGCTGCTGCAGAGTATACAGCCAGCAGTGCTGGATTTAACAGGCTGCGCTGTCCCGCTCTCTGTGCTCATTGCCAAGCTGCGTTTTCTATGCGCGACAGAGACGTCCAGAAATCTGCTCTTAGTTTTAGCACAAAACCACCCTGCCAAAAAAGAGCCACCCCTAAAGCCTTCGCTTCGTGGTGGACTCCCCACTTCCATCATTGCACTGGGGACCCAACCTCCCAGTCTGAGGACTGGGTCGGGATCAGCAGCCTTTGGTAGGGGCTGGTATTAAAATATGATTTTTTTATTTACTGTTGCCTTGAAGCTGCCTGCATTTGTTTACCACTGTGAGCTGACCTTTGGGGAGACATTTCTCGATTAATTGGGTATCTAATCGCTTCAGACGATTGACAGGCGTGTGCGTATTGGAGTTTTTCCACTTGTTAGATATTTTCTCTCCGGTTTCTTCTTTCCCTGTTATATGGCAAATGATGCGTTTATTTTTTTGTATTAGTTCCTTCATTGTTTTTCTCTTTAGTAATCAACTGTGGATTTCATACTTGCCTGCTGTCTCTTGGCCTGAACCTTTTTGCCAATCCATTCAAATCATGAGTCTCTTGTTCTTAAATAGTAAAGTAGAGGGCAGCTATTTTAATTCTTTCAATATTTAGCCTTCAATAATCATTCTCTCAATAATTCTTTACTCTCCACAGACTTTCTTTAAAAGAAGCTCTACCTTTCATTATTTTCACAAGACGCTGACTCCTTGTAGGTATCGCATCCTTGCTTGTGTTTATTTCCCCGGCGAATTTTGCGGCTTTACCTGGTGCTTTAGGTTCCCAGGACGACAGGCAACAGGCAGTGAGTGCGCTGGGAGGCTTCTGCAGGCACTGGGTTTAGTTCCCTGCACGTACGTACCCCAAAAACCGGCCCCGGCTGTGTTCAGATGTTAGTGGGAGGAAGAAGATGCTCTTGTTTTTTCTTTGTTTGTCCTCTAGGTACTTGTTAGTAAATAATCTGGAATGTTTCCATAGCAAACTGGTGTAGAAAATATTTTTCTTCCCTGTGGAAAACATAGAAATGAGTTTTAGGTAAGCGATGTTTTGATTTTTGTACAGGAGGCAAAACTCACATAGGTGGCATGTAGGTCAGAGGCTCTGAAGAAGTAAACCATTGCTAGATTTGGGATTGGAACTGGGAAGTACTGGTTTTATCTGGGGAGGGGTAATAGCATGAATTTTTTAATAGCCTTGGACTGGGACTCAGGGTCCCGGGATCCATCTCGGCTTTGCCCCTGGCCAGTGGATGCTGTCAGAGGTATCGCAGTGGGAAACGGTCTGAGGTTTACTGATGGAAAGCTCAGTTCAGGAACAGCTCTCCTTATTAGCTTATCCTTCTGGGCTGAAAAATGTAAAACTGGATAGTGTGCGTGCTTCCCACACGTGGCCCTGAAGTTCAGGTAACCTCGTGCCACAGGCATGACATGGCTAATAGGTAAGGGAGAATCTCTTAACTCAACCTGAGCCTGATCCTGGACTTTCTGGAGCAGGAGAATTCGGTTCCAGCCCTTGCTGCGCTGTGAAGTCCCAGCCCTGGGATGCAGCCTGGCCCCAGCTGTGGAGTCTTGGGATGCCGTGGATTTGTTACGGTGCTTTCGCTCTGGCTAAACTGGTGTTTTTGTCACGTTTTACTGTTTACAGTGTGCCAAGGAAGGAAAATGAGTTAATTCAAAAAACAATTTTGCTGGAAGATTGCTCTATAAATAAATTCCAGAGATAAGTGAAATAAAACATTAGTGGAAGATGAAAGGAAGGAGAGGGGAAAGATGGAACCAAGCAGACACAAGCAGTGACACTGGATTTGTTCCATGGCCAAGTGCTTATACTGATAGTAGAAGTCCTTTTGTCACCAGTAACTTCTTTGGTGAGCAGCCCTTAGAGGGAAACTCAGAATCTAACTCCAAGCAAAGAAGTTCTCAGAGTGCTGTCTGCCACCCTGCACAGAAACAACTCGGGTCCGGGCATCTCGGAGAGGCCCCGGTGTGATGAGGAGCTGCGGCGCTCGGCGGCGGGATGGAGCGGACGGGTCCCCGCGGGGATGCTGCCAGGCAGCCATCCAGCTGCCCCGCCGCGGAGGGCGAGGAGGGGCGGGTGCCGCTCTCGCAGTCGGTAGCGCTGCAGCTACCGTGTTTGTTCCTAATGGCTTGCACCACGCTTTGTATAAGGCGAGGTCATAAGTAGGGTATTTCCAATGTTTCCCGGTTGTGATTTTAATTGTCGCTTTGTGCTTCCAATAAAATGTTCTGCCTAACCGATCGCAGGAGAGCCTTTTCTCTGCGATGTAGTACCTAATGTGCTGGAAGAGTTCACAGGCAGGGGCAGGCGATGGTCTGTCTAGTCTTGTTCGTCCTGTCCAAAAGTCACCAATGCCAGATGATCCAGCTGGAGGAAATAAAATACCTGTATAGCAACTAATGGTGAGATTTTATGCCTGGGGAAGCAAATCAAAGAGAGAGAAACTTCCTGGTTATTTTCCCATTAAGTTAAAGCTCCTGTAAAAACAAATTGCCTGGGATATGTAGAGGGAAGAGAAGTCTTTGTACAGCGAAAGGTGGCTCAGCTCACAGATACTGCAAGGAGCTTTCTTGAAAGAACAAGTGAGGTGGCTCCTGGTTTGGATCTGGTTTGTTTTAGCCCCTGCGTTCTTGGAATAAATTAGTGGTTTGGGTTTTTTTTTTCCCTTGTTTGGAGCTGCGTGGAAGGCTGGAACATCCTCCCTGTGTCACAACGTGTTGCTAATGTAATTTTTCCTTTATTTCAGCAACAGCGCACTGTTTACAGGCTGACACTGGTGAAAGCTTGGAATGTGGATGAACTCAAAGCCTATGCTGACCTGATATCCCTCGGTAAACCAGACTTCATTGAGGTCAAGGTGAGCTGCACAGAACTATTCTATTTTTTTTTCCCATCAGTATTTTACTGTCATACAAGTAAATGCAATTCTTCCAAAGATTTCAGTGATGCGTAAGGAACTTACCTCTTGCTTGTAAAGTTAGGCAGCCAAGTTTCTAATACTTTATGTGTGCATTTGGAGTAGTGTTATGCAAGACAAGCTTTGTACCAGCCAGCATCAATTTCTGCCCAACAGAATCATAATCCTCTGGTCTTTTTTGTATTTCTCATGAAAGCAGAGACTGATAAATAGATATTGCTTCTTTTATGTCAAGCAACATTTTAAACAAAATATTCTGGGACAAGCTGGTAGTTTGTGGTGTTATTCTTCCCATCCTGGCCTTGAATTCTGCCAGGGGAAAAGGTGATAACGCCTGGCTTACTGATGCGATGTTTGTCAGGCTGTGCAGAACAGGGGGAAATACTACCCTCTGGGACTGGAAGAGCTGCTAACAGGAGCATGTGAGATACAGCGGGGCAGGAGGTGCTTTATCTTGGGATTAATCAATTTAGTGTTTAGAGAATGTAAAAAAGGCACATTACAAAGTGTTCTGTACAGAATCACTATCAGCATTTTCATCCAGCAACTCCCCTGCAGACCAGCACACTTAGCTCTGTGTTTTTGCACCTCTATTACTTCTGGACTTTTTCTTTCCTTTCTCTTTTCTTTCTCTCTTTCCTTTTTTTTTTTTTTTTGACCTTTATTTACCGCTGCTTTGAAGAAAAAAAACCTGGAGTTTGCTGCAATTTCCTTATGAAACAAAACCCGAAGGTTTTGATATTACCAGTATTGAGAGGTCTCTTTCTCTCTGAATGTGCTGCTGAAGTTGATAGCTTAATACAAAATAAGATTTTGAGTATGGTTTGGGGAAAAAGCCTCAGTTTCACAATGTGTATCAGACTGTTTTATGTTCCCCAGGTAAAACCTCGCAGGAGGAGTGCTCCTACGGGGCCCTTCCACCTTGCCTCTCCCGACACTCTTACTGCAGCCTGGTAGTACCAGATCCTTCCAGCGTGCAAGGAGGGCAGAGATGAGCGTGTGCGCCAGCGTGGAGTGTGAGGCTGTCGGCGTACGTCCTACTTAGGCTGCTCTGTCATGTGTAGCGACTTTAATTAGTAAAAGGAGTCAGGTGTAAGTTAATCAATGTTTCTGAGCGCTCTCCAGGGGAAACATCTGTCTCCTCCAAGGCAGAGGGCTGCTGTTCCCTTTGCCTGGGGAAGGATTCAGCCTTACGGTTGTGGTTTCCCAGCAGCGTGGAGCTCAGCTCTCCCAGCAGCTCTTCCCTGGCAAAGTCATGCCTCAGACTGCCAGGGAAATGGCTGAGAAAAGAGGTGGTCGTAGAGGTGTTCCCAAGGTGGTCGTGGATGTACTCCTGACACTCTTCTGGCTGGGACGGGCTCCTGCCCGGACTGCTTCAGTTGAAAATCTCGTTGTTGCACTCCAAGTGCTTCAAAGTGCTTTTCAGATCTCAACCAGCGAGGACTTTCTTTGAGGAAGGGATATAGATTGAACACTTTGCCCTGTTTGCAAAAGTCAGAACTGAGGCAGAGAGGGGCTGCGTGACATTCCCCGAAGCCAGGTAGCACGGTCGTGTAGCTGGGGGGCCAGCATCGCTCGTGTGCCTGCCAACACCAGCTGCAAAGGGGGCTCAGAGGGGTGCAGGACAGGGAGGCGGAGGGGTGCACCCACACCTGCTGGCCATGTGCTCTTGGGTGGGTTTGGGTCTTTTCGTGGACCGATACGAGTGTAAGTTTGCAGTTTGTTTGTTTCTTTTTTTTTTTTTTTTTTTAAAGAAGGGTGTATGCTGTTCAATGTTACTTAATTAAACTTGCAAGTGGGATGCTTTGATCTAAACGTCATTTTCTCAGAAATATTCCAGCAGGTAAGTGAAGTTCTGCAAGTGCTGGAGGACAGAACTGTCTACCAGGGTGCTGCTCCTTGTCAGATCCTGGTGTCTTCAAGCTAAGGGACAGAACATCTCACGCCTCCATTTCTTCTTCCATGTATGGTTTAGCATTGTGCTTACACGACGGCCACAAAAGCAGGCTGCGGTTGGCATGTGGAAAGTCTCTTGTCTTTCCAGTCCCAAAAGCAGTAGTCAGGGACACAGGGAAACTCAGGTTTAAGCCTTTCCAAAGGACGCAGCATCTCTCTCCCTTGTCTCTGCTAGGTGCTGTAGTTAGGCTGGGAGCGATGGGGAAAGTCTTCCCTGGTTGCAGCCCTCATTACAAACCACAGTACAGTGTTGCACAACTTCATTGCGTTCTGTATGCTCAAAGTCCAAAAAAACGTCTTGTGCAGTTTGCTCTTTGTTTCTGGTCTAGTGGAAGGAGGACGATTTTCCAAAGCTCTCAAAACCATACAGCAAGGCTGACAGCAGCTAAGCCCCACAAGAGAAGCGAGCAGCTGAGTACGAGACGACAGACTAATTCCTTTTCAGCTTCAGCAGCAGAAATGAATTGTCAGGGCGCTGCTCTGCCTTGTTCACCAGCAGGCCCTGAAATAGTCTCTCGTGTTTGGTTTTTTTTTTTTTTCCATTTAATTGAGCTTTTAAATAGAGCTGTGCTGTCCCGTTATCTTAATTTCAAAGACAGGAAAGCAGGGTTCATGTACTTGAAGCATGAAGCACGCTGTTGTGAGCAGCGTTGCTGGAGCACCCGTTTGCAGCAGGAGCTGAACTGATGTTAATCACTGCCTGAAACAAACGGTGCAACTCTGTGCTGGCACAACATTTGGGGTTTAAATGGCATTTTCATCCCTTTTAAAAGCCACAGAATTTTGTGATGGCTTCCCTGGAGCAGGGGATTTGCTTGACACTAGGTTGTGTTTAAATAGACCCTAAGTTGGACGAAAGGTCTTGCTCACAGATTTTTAGATGAGATGTTTTTATGCGAGAGCAAGAGGTTTTTTTTAACAAAGCTGCCTTTCTTCCTTGCCTCTTTGGAGCAAGTGTAATGTTCCAAAAGGTGGGCACTTGGTGCTTTGCAGAGGGCAAGCAGCTCACACTAAATATAGTATTAGCCTGGTCCATGGCCTTATTTGTTTTGCGTAGTTTCATCTGCCGATTCCCGCTAAACAGCAGCGTTTCTGAAGTGCGGAAGATTTGGCTCGGTAGGGAGGTGCGACGGCTTTCTCCTCTTGCTGCGCTGTCTCTGTGACTTTGGAATGCGAGGGGATTCCAGGGTTTCTCACCTCCAGCGTGGAACCAATTTTTCCCTTTTCTTGGCCAGAAGGAGTAAGCGGCGTGCTCTGGAGTGGCCGATGAACGACGAGTTGTGTTGCCGCAGGGTAGCGAGAGAGTCCAGCCAGGCACCAGCAGCAGAGGCTGACAGAGGGGATGCCATCTTCAGGACGGCTTCCTTGGCTGTCCTCCGAAGCGTCCATCGATTGCTGGCGGAGGGCTGTGCCCCCCCACGCTGCTGGAGACGGTCGTGTTGCTGCTGTGCCTGCACTCAGACCCTTACCCCATGGTCTGTCCTACCTGACTCACTAGGTTACCCTCCCTTGCATTCAGCTGTGCGCTCTGCAGACAGCTTGTTTGCCTCTGATCTTTAATCCTGGCTCGCGCAGCTCTCGGCCAATGCCCTACCCATGAGATCAGCCGTCTCTTACGGCAGGATGGTGGTGCAGATGGCCGCTGCGGTGCTTTGAGGCATCTGTGCTGCGCTGTTGAGCAAACTGGAGTCGAGAATGCTTCGAGGTGCTTCCTTGCTTCTGGCTGTGCGCCTGTGGGCTGAAGCAAAGAGCTGGGGCCTCTGTCCCTGCCATGTTTGACTGCTCTGGAGTAAAAGGTGAGCAGATCTCCTTCTCAGCAAAGGAGAACAGCAGAAGAGGGGCTGCAGCATACCCCCTCCCCAAAGCCTGGGCGTTTGCGATTGTGCAGGCAAAGTGTACGTAAGCAGAGTGATCCCGCAGACATAATCCCACAGCATTCAAGGTGATGCCTTGATACAATAATACATAAAGCTGGGAGTTAAATTCTGACCCAAAGGAAGAAGGTAGGGTTGAGGTGGGTTCACATCTAGCACTCTTGTTGCTGTTGGTGTTTCCTTTCACGCACTCCATGTACTGATCGGCACGTGGACAAAAACTCCTGCCAGCGTGTCCCTGGCCTTTAGTCCAGCCCCAGCAGTCGTGGTGTTCACACAGCATTTGTGACCTGCAAATTTTCCCTAAAAGGCTTGATATTTTTGATTAAAAGTAATTTCTTGTGTTCCTTTGAGAATGAAGCATACTGAAGAATCTATTTGGCATGTGGATAGGGCTTAGCATTTTTTTTTTCCCAAACCCCCAGTGTGATAGGTTAAAAAGGCAAAGTCCAGGTCCTGCTCAAAGCAAATAAACAAAAAATATTACGAGATATACTGGAAAGCATCTACCAGAAAATGAGGCTCATCTCAGTGGGATTTCCTGGTTAAATACTTGAGGTAAGTGACGTTAATTTACAATGAATGTAGCTAATCCCCTGTTGCTCCAGAGAGGCTCACGGGGTGGAGTGGATGGAGATTTAGATTCTTGCAGGGCTTAATACTTGTTCTCATTTACATGAGTATCTTACGGCAGTGTAACTCTGTGGGACCCTGTTCTCTTATTTAAGCCAATAGAAATTAGCCTTGATTACCCTTGTATAAAACCCAAGTAAAGAAAGAATCAGTCATGCGGTTATTAAATACCAATTTTATTTACTGCCTTAGTCTCTTTTAATGCCATAATGTCACTGTCGCAGTTGTACAAAGTTCATTGTTATATTTAAGATCTAGAACGTGCACCTCATCTTTTTGTAACGTTACCCTCTTTTTCTTTCAAAAGCGAGAGGCTTTTTTTGACGTGCAGTATTTTGCCATTTCTATTCCTTCTTAAACCAAAGGCACAAAAGGATTTTGAAGCGAAACGTACGTGGGTCCTAAAGAACTCATTCAGACGTATGCGAGTGGAGCGTGCTGCAGGGTCACGTTAGTGCGAGGCCAGATGAGCACACC